GACACGTTTTTGTAATATTTTTTGCACGGTAGTGACACGTTTTTTGCACGGTAGTTTTTTTGCACAGAAGCGACACGCTTTTGTAATAATTTTTGCACGGTAGTGACACGATTTTTGCACGGTAGTTTTTTTGCACATAAGTGACACGTTTTTGTAATAATTTTTGCACAATAGCGACACGTTTTTTGCACGGTAGTTTTTTTGCACAGAAGCAACACGCTTTTGTAATAATTTTTGCACGGTAGTGAGTCGCTTTTTGCACGGTAGTTTTTTTGCACAGAAGTGACACGCTTTTGTAATAATTTTTTACACAGTAGTGACAAGATTTTTGTACAGTAGTTGTTGCACAGAAGTGACACGTTTTTGTAACAATTTTTGCACGGTAGTGACACGTTTTTTGCACGGTAGTTTTTTTGCACATAAGTGACACGTTTTTGTAATAATTTTTGCACATAAGTGACACGTTTTTTGTACAGTAGTTGTTGCACAGAAGTGACACGTTTTTGTAATAATTTTTGCACGGTAGTGACACGATTTTTGTACAGTAGTTTATGCACATAAGTGACGCGTTTTTTGTACAGTAGTTTATGCACAATAGCGACACGTTTTTTGTACAGTAGTGTTTGCACATAAGTGACACGTTTTTGTAACAATTTTTGCACGGTAGTGACACGTTTTTTGCACGGTAGTTTTTTTGCACATAAGCGACACGCTTTTGTAATAATGTTTTGCACGGTAGTGACACGATTTTTGTACAGTAGTTTTTGCACATAAGTGACACGTTTTTGTAACAATTTTTGCACGGTAGTGACAAGATTTTTGTACGGTAGTTTTTTTGCACAGAAGCGACACGCTTTTGTAATAATTTTTTTGCACAGAAGCGACACGTTTTTGTAATAATTTTTTTGCACAGAAGCGACACGCTTTTGTAATATTTTTTTTGCACAGAAGCGACGCGCTTTTGTAATAATTTTTTTGCACAGAAGCGACACGCTTTTGTAATAATTTTTTGCACGGTAGTGAGACACGATTTTTGTACGGTAGTTTTTTTATTTTTTGCGCAGTAGCGAAGCGATTTCTCGCACGCCGCCTTAAGCCACGGTCGTTTCTATTCATGCGCGCCCCGCGTAGTAGTGTATAGTGTAGTTATTTATTTTTTTCTGGGGGGAGGGGGGGAGGGGGGCACAGCGGGTTTTGGTACAGTGCAATCGTAACGAGGTTGTCTTTTTGTACGCTGCTGTTTGCGGACAGCGCACCAGCAAGTTGATGATGTTGTTGTTGTGGCTTTTGTTGTTGTTGTTGGTGGTTGGTGTTGGTGTAAAGAAGATCTCCGCTTTGCCCCGGGCGCGAAACTGGGCTCGGCTTCTAACCGAAACATTTAAAGCCACAATAGTAACACGTTTTTGTTTTTTTTGGGTGGGAGTTGTGGGGTTGGGGGTGGGGTGAGGTTATATTGCGTAAATAAAATAGATGCGTCAGTTCAAACCCGGCAAACACCCGGCACAGCCAACTGGTAATGGGTTACATTTTGATTTCAAGCTTTCGCTTGAAATCAAAATTCATATTCTTGGTTCTTTCGGTAAAGTCACCGCCACGTGGAAGGGCGACAATAAAATAATAAAAATATGAAACAATAAAATTCATATTCTTGGTTCTTTCGGTAAAGTCACCGCCACGTGGAAGGGAGACAATAAAATAATAAAAATATGAAACAATAAAATTCATATTCTTGGTTCTTTCCGTAAAGTCACCGCCACGTGGAAGGGAGACAATAAAATAATAAAAATATGAAACAATAAAATTCATATTCTTGGTTCTTTCGGTAAAGTCACCGCCACGTGGAAGAGAGACAATAAAATAAAAAGATTATAAAACAATAAAATTCATATTCTTGGTTCTTTCCGTAAAGTCACCACCACGTGGAAGGGAGACAATAAAATAATAAAAATATATATAGTAGTAGTAGTGTCGCGTAGTAATGGGTTGTCACGTAAACAGAACGTGGCCAATTCGTCACTAGTACAGCACTAGTGTGTAGTGTAGTGTATAGTAGTGTAGCGTATAGTGTAGTGTATAGTGTAGTGTGTAGTGTAGTGTATAGTGTAGTGTATAGTGTAGTGTATAGTGCAGTGTATAGTAGTGTATAGTGTAGTGTATAGTGTAGTGTAGTGTATAGTGTAGTGTATAGTGTAGTGTATAGTGTAGTGTATAGTGTAGTGTATAGTGTATAGTAGTGTATAGTGTAGTGTATAGTGTAGTGTATAGTGTAGTGTGTAGTAGTGTATAGTGTAGTGTATAGTAGTGTATAGTGTAGTGTATAGTGTAGCGTATAGTGTAGTGTATAGTACTGTAGAGTGTAGTGTATAGTAGTGTACTGTATAGTGTAATGTATAGTGTAGTGTATAGTAGTGTATAGTGTAGTGTATAGTGTAGTGTATAGTGTAGTGTATAGTAGTGTAGTGTATAGTGTAATGTATAGTGTAGTGTATAGTAGTGTAGTGTGTAGTGTAGTGTATAGTGTAGTGTATAGTACTGTAAAGTGTAGTGTATAGTAGTGTTGTGTAGAGTGTAGCGTAGTGTATAGTGTAGTGTATAGTAGTGTATAGTGTAGTGTATAGTAGTGTAGTGTGTAGTGTATAGTGTAGTGTATAGTAGTGTAGTGTATAGTGTAATGTATAGTGTAGTGTATAGTAGTGTAGTGTGTAGTGTAGTGTATAGTGTAGTGTATAGTACTGTAAAGTGTAGTGTATAGTAGTGTCGTGTAGAGTGTAGCGTAGTGTATAGTGTATAGTAGTGTATAGTGTATAGTAGTGTAGTGTGTATTGTATAGTAGTGTAGTGTATAGTAGTGTGTAGTGTAGTGTATAGTGTAGTGTATAGTGTCGTGTACAGTAGTGTATAGTGTAGTGTCTAGTAGTGTCGTGTAGAGTGTAGCGTAGTGTATAGTGTAGTATACTAGTACAGCACACCGGTGTGTTGGAGATCCAAGCCACAGCATTTACAATCCGAGTGACGACGCTTCGCCGGTAATTACAACCAGCTTCATCAGGCTACAGCCAGATTCGTGAGAAGAAAAAAAACTCTTATTGTTTCATTCCTTACATAGAGGCGTAGATTAATGAGTCAACGTACATTATGCATGCGCATCATGCGAGAACCTTTGATATTGTGCATTAAAATGGCCGTACCAAATGGTAATCCCGGCAATTTAAAGGCTCGTGGCTCGAACGCGATGGCGATTCATTTTTACAGCCCACCCCCTCCTCCTCCTCCTCCTCCTCCTCCTCCCCCTCCTCCTCCTCCTCCTCCTCCTCCTCCACCTCCTCCTCCTCCTCCTCCCCCTCCTCCTCCTCCTCCTCCTCCTCCCCCTCCTCCTCCTCCTCCTCCTCCACCACCTCCTCCTCCTCCTCCTCCTCCACCACCTCCTCCTCCTCCCCCTCCTCCTCCTCCTCCTCCTCCTCCTCCTCCTCCTCCACCTCCTCCTCCTCCTCCTCCACCACCTCCTCCTCCTCCTCCTCCTCCTCCTCCTCCCCCTCCTCCTCCTCCTCCTCCTCCTCCCCCTCCTCCTCCTCCTCCTCCTCCTCCCCCCCCCTCCTCCTCCTCCTCCTCCTCCTCCTCCTCCTCCACCACCTCCTCCTCCTCCTCCTCCTCCTCCTCCTCCTCCCCCTCCTCCTCCTCCTCCTCCTCCTCCTCCACCTCCTCCACCACCTCCTCCTCCTCCTCGAGAGGCTCTCAGCGTCCGGCACGACCCCCCGAAAAAGCCGGACGGACTTAAATGACTCCGTGCGGGCCAAAGCACGGAGCTCACGGAAGACGCAATGGGGGGGGGGGGGGGGGGGGGGGGGGGCCTTGCGCTGCGTACGAAAGAAAGGCAGGCGCTGGGGAGGGGGGGGTGGAGGGGGGGGGGGAGGGGGGGGGGGGTGGAGGGGGGACAGCAAAGGCCCTGAAATTATCACGACGATTGTAAATCACTCCGGCAAGCCTCGATCGGTAAGCGCCGGGCCATACGCCCTCCGACGGCGCCTTCGGCAGCGTTGTTGCGAGTTGCCGGTGGTCATCGCCTTCGTGAGTATATCCTCGGGGAAGGGTGGGGTTATATATTTATTTCTCTCTCCTTTTTCCAGCGACGAGTTTGTCGGGACGCAAAAAGGAGGAGGAGGAGGAGAAGGGAGGAGGGGGTAGGAGGAGGGAGGAGGGAGGAGAAGGAGGAGGGAGGAGGAGTCAAACCTAAAACGACCGCCGGGACCTCCCGAGTCCTTCAAATCCCAAGGGCAACGTGGCAGGTGGGAGGCAACAACGTCCAGCGGTCGAAGCAACGAAATCCGCGGTCAAACTCCTCCATCGAATAAAACGATGGCGGATTTAACAAACAAAAAAACACACACACACACACACACAAACCGCGTGAGTACGGAGAAAGATTGTGAGTTGGTTATGATCTACGTAGAATCCCACACCTCCCTCCACCCCAGTATCACCCTTCTTGCTGAGGCAGCTGTCCTGGGAGGGGGGGGGTGGGGGGTGGTGGGGGTGGAGGGAAATCCACGAGAAACTCCCTCGCGTCGTTTAAAATTCCTCGTTCCGATTGTCCGTCGCCTAACATGGCCGATAACCACGACAAAATAACCGCTTAAGACGATGCACTCACCAACGTACGCCTCCCCCCACACCCCCCACCCGTAACCGCTCCTCCTCTTCAAAGCGTTCACCGGCGACGGCCTCCCTCCTCACTCGGTCCAATCCGCGTCTCCCTACCGTGGAGGATGTCCGGTGGCCGTGGCCGCTTGAGGCAGGCTGCGGTGGCAAGGGGCGTGGTGGCAAGGGGCCGGTGGCAAGGGGCGCGGTGGCAAGGGGCCGGCGGTGGCAAGGGGCGCGGTGGCAAGGGGCCGGCGGTGGCAAGGGGCCGGTGGCAGGGGGCCGGTGGCAAGGGGCCGGTGGCAAGGGGCCCGGCGGTGGCAAGGGGCCAGCGGCAAGGGGCGCGGTGGCAAGGGGCGCGGTGGCAAGGGGGGCGCGGTGGCAAGGGGGCGCGGTGGCAAGGGGGCGCGGTGGCAAGGGGGGCGCGGTGGCAAGGGGGCCGCTCTGCGGCCACCGCCGGGCCTCACACATCCGTGTGGCAGAAGTCCACGGCGCCACCGCCGGCGACGGCGTCGGTGGTGGCGCCCGCCGACGGCCACGCCCTCGACTTGTCGGCCGCCGCCGCCGGCATCACCGCCGGCATCACCGCCGGCAGCACCGCCGCCTCCTCCCCATCCAGGAACGCGTCGCCGATGTCCCGCAGGTCGGCAAGGCTCCTGGACGCCTTCTTCTTGGAGTCCGTCGGCAAGCCCTGCCCGCAGCCCTGGCCCTGGCCTTGGCCTTGGCCTTGCCCTTGGCCTTGGCCTTGGCCGCCGCCTTGCCCGAAGCCACCGGCTGCGGGCACGGTGTAGTAGAGCGTGGTGTCCTCCTCGCGCGCCTTGCCCAGGTGGTAGAAGTAGCTGAAGTTGCTGACGATGACCGGCACGGGCAGCGAGATGGTGAGCACTCCGGCGAGGGCGCACAGCGAGCCCACCAGCTTGCCACCCACCGTGATGGGGTACATGTCGCCGTAGCCCACCGTCGTCATGGTGACGACGGCCCACCAGAACGCGTCGGGGATGCTGCGGAAGGCCGTGCCGGGCACGTCCGCCTCGGCGAAGTACACGGCGCTCGAGAAGATGACGACGCCGATGAGCAGGAAGAAGATCAGCAGCGCGAGCTCCTTGAGGCTGGCCCTGAGCGTCTGCCCGAGGATCTGGAGCCCCTTGGAGTGGCGCGACAGCTTGAAGATGCGGAAGACGCGCACGAGGCGAACCACGCGGAAGACGGCGAGGGTCGTGGCGTGCTGCGTGGCGCCGCCCCGCAGCTCCAGGAGCTCGGTGGCGAGGGCGACGAAGAACGGCGCCACGGCCACGACGTCGATGACGTTCAGCAGGCCCCGGAAGAAGGTCGCCTTGCGCGGCGACGACAGGAACCTCGCGAGCAACTCCAGGGTGAACCACACGATGCAGACGGCTTCGACGACGAAGAATGGGTCCGCGAAAGTGGCACGGGCCGAAGGGGGCGACACCGAGGGGCCACCGACGGGGCCGCCGGGACCGGGGCCGACGCCGGGGCCACTGCCGGGGCCGCCGCCGGGGCCGCCGGGGCCTCTGGGACCACCGGCCGCCTCGCGGAAGCGCGGCAGCGTCTCGACGCAGAAGACGACGATGGAGGCGACGACCACGGCCACCGACACGAGCGCGACGCCCTTGGCGGCCGGCGAGCTCTCGGGGTGCTCGAAGAGGAGCCACGCCTGCCGCTGCAGGCGGCCCGCCGGCAGCGGCCGCTCGGGCTCGCGCGCCAGCCCCTCGTCCCCGCGGAAGCGCGCCATCGCCGCCTCGCCCAGCTGGTAGAAGCGGATCTCCTCGGCGAAGACGTCCACCGACACGGAGTCGGGCCGACGGAGGCGCCCGCCCGACTGGTAGTAGTAGAGGATCGAGTCGAAGCTGCAGCGGCTGCGGTCGAAGAAGTACTCGTTGCGGCGGGCGTCGAAGAAGCGCCGGCGCTTGCGCGAGTCGCCCAGGAGGGTGCGAGGGAAGCGAGAGAGGGTGGCGCGCTGAGTCTCGAAGCGGAGGCCCGCCACGTTGATGACCACGCGGTCGAAGAAGTTGCAGACGGCGGAGGAGGCGGCGGAGGCGGCGGAGGCGGCGGAGGCGGCGGCGGAGGCGGCGGAGGCGGCGGAGGCGGCGGAGGCGGCGGAGGCGGCGGAGGCGGCGGAGGCGGCGGAGGCGGCGGAGGCGGCGGAGGCGCCGACGCCGCCGTTCTCGAGGGAGGGCTTCGGCGGAGACGACGACGTCGCGTCGTCCGCTGCCATGCTGCCCCCCAGAGTGCCGGACGCGCCCCCCCCCCCCCGGCCGCCCCGCCCCCCCCCCCCCCCCCCCCCCCCCCCCCCCCCCCCCGGTCGCCCCCCCCCCCGAAACTCCTGGATCGCCCGCTCGCTCGCCCGATGGCTCGCTGACTAAGGCACCGGCTCGCGAGCGATGTCACTGACTCACTCGCGATGTCACTGACTCACTCACAATGTCACTGACTCACTCACAATGTCACCGACTCGCTCGCGATGTCACTGACTCACTCGTGATGTCACTAACTCACTCGTAATGTCACTGACTCACTCACAATGTCACTGACTCACAATGTCACTGACTCACTCGCGATGTCACTGACTCAATCACAATGTCACCGACTCGCTCATAATGTCACCGACTCACTCGCGATGTCACTGACTCACTCGCGATGTCACTGACTCACTCTCAATGTCACTGACTCACTCGTGATGTCACTGACTCACTCGCAGTGTCACTGACTCACTCGTGATGTCACTGACTCACTCGCAATGTCACTGACTCACTCGTAATGTCACTGACTCACTCGCGATGTCACTGACTCACTCTCAATGTCACTGACTCACTCGCGATGTCACTGACTCACTCACAATGTCACTGACTCACAATGTCACTGACTCACTCGCGATGTCACTGACTCACTCGCAATGTCACCGACTCACAATGTCACTGACTCACTCGCGATGTCACTGACTCACTCGCAATGTCACCGACTCACAATGTCACTGACTCACTCACGATGTCACTGACTCACTCACAATGTCACTGACTCACTCACAATGTCAATGACTCACTCGTGATGTCACCGACTCACTCGCGATGTCACCGACTCACTCACAATGTCACTGACTCACTTGCAGTGTCACTGACTCACTCACAATGTCACCGACTCACTCGCGATGTCACCGACTCACAATGTCACTGACTCACTCGCGATGTCACTGACTCACTCGTAGTGTCACTGACTCACTCACAATGTCACTGACTCACTTGCATTGTCACTGACTCACTCGCGATATCACTGACTCACTCGCGATGTCACTGACTCACTCACAATGTTACTGACTCACTCGTAATGTCACTGACTCACTCGCGATGTCACTGACTCGCTCACGATGTCACTGACTCACAATGTCACCGACTCACTCGTAATGTCACTGACTCACAATGTCACTGACTCACTCGCGATGTCACTGACTCACTCGCGATGTCACTGACTCACTCGCGATGTCACTGACTCACTCACGATGTCACTGACTCACTCGCAATGTCACTGACTCGCTCGACAACTCGCTCACAATATCACTAACTCACCCAATAACTCACTTACAATGTCACTAACTCACCCAATAACTCACTCACAAGTCACTAACTCACCCAATAACTCACAAGTCACTAACTGACTCAATAACTCACTCACAATGTAACTAACTCACTCAATAACTCACTCACAATGTCACTAACTCACTGAATGACTCACTCACAATGTCAGTAACTCACTCACTAACTCATTCACTGACTCACTCACTCACTCAATAACTCACTCACAATGTCACTAACTCACCCAATAACTCACAAGTCACTAACTCACCCAATAACTCACAAGTCACTAACTCACCCAATAACTCACTTACAATGTCACTAACTCACCCAATAACTCACTCATAAGTCACTAACTCACCCAATAACTCACAAGTCACTAACTCACTCAATAACTCACTCACAATGTAACTAACTCACTCAATAACTCACTCACAAACTAACTCACTGAATGACTCACTCACAAAGTCACTAACTTACTCAATAACTCACTCACAAAGTCACTAACTTACTCGACAACTCACTGACAAAATCACTCACTCACAATGTCACTAACTCACTCAATAACTCACTCACAATGTAACTAACTCACTCAATGACTCACTCACCATGTCACTAACTCACTCACTAACTCATTCACTGACTCACTCACTCACTAACTCACTAACTCACTCACTAACTCACTAAATCACTCACTAACTCACTCCTTAACTCACTCACTCACTAACTCAATCACTCACTCCTTAACTAATTCACTCGCTAACTCACTCACTCACTCACTCCCTAACTCACTCACTAACTCACTCCCTAACTCATTCACTAACTAACTCACTAACTTACTCACTCACTAACTCACTCCCTAACTCACTAACTCACTCCCTAACTCATTCACTAACTAACTCACTCACTAACTCACTCACTAACTCATTCCCTAACTCATTCACTAACTAACTCACTCACTCATTAACTCACCAACTCACTCCCTAACTCACTCACCAACTCACTCACTAACTCACTAACTCACTGACTAACTCACTCACTCACTAACTCACTCACTCGCTAACTCACTCCCTAACTCACTCCCTAACTCACTAACTCACTCACTCACAAACTCACTCACTAACTCATTCACTCACTCACTCCCGAACTAACTCACTAACTAACTCACTAACTTACTCACTAACTCACTAACCCACTCACTCACTAACTCACTCACTCACTCGCTAACTAACTCCTTAACTCACTCACTCGCTAACTCACTCACTAACTCACTCACTCACTAACTCACTCACTAACTCGCTCACTAACTCGCTCACCAACTCACTCACTAACTCACTAACTCACTCACTAACTCACCAACTCACTCCCCAACTCACTAACTCACTCACTAACTCACTAACTCACCAACTCCCTCACCAACTCACTCACCAACTCACTCACCAACTCACCAACTCACTCACCAACTCACTCATTACCCCCTCCTGCCTCTGATCGCACCTGACTGACTGACTGCCAACCCCCCACCTACACCCCCATCGAGTACCCCCCCCCACCACCAACACAGGGCACCACCACCCCCCCACCACACCACCACCACCCCCCCACCACACCACCACCCCCTCCTCCCCACCCACCACCCCCTCCTCCCCACCCACCACCCCCACCGTTATCCTCACGTGAATGTTCGTCGCCAACGCAGCCAAACGTTGCCGGGACAGAAAGTCTCTCGCGCAAGTGATCAGCGACGTCCATCAGCGACGTCCATCAGCGACGTCTATCAGCGATGTCCATCAGCGATATCCATCAGCGTTGTCCGTCAGCGATGTCCATCAGCGACGTCCATCAGCGACGTCCATCAGCGTTGTCCATCAGCGATGTCCATCAGCGACGTCCATCAGCGACGTCTATCAGCGATGTCCATCAGCGATGTCCATCAGCGATGTCCATCAGCGTTGTCCATCAGCGTTGTCCGTCAGCGATGTCCATCAGCGACGTCCATCAGCGATGTCCATCAGCGATGTCCATCAACGATGTCCATCAGCGTTGTCCATCAGCGATGTCCGTCAGCGTTGTCCGTCAGCGATGTCTATCAGCGATGTCTATCAGCGATGTCCATCAGCGATGTCCATCAGCGTTGTCCATCAGCGACGTCCATCAGCGTTGTCCATCAGCGTTGTTCATCAGCGATGTCCATCAGCGATGTCTATCAGCGATGTCCATCAACGATGTCCATCAGCGATGCCCATCAGCGATGCTCGTCAGCGATGTCCATCAGCGATGTCCGTCAGCGATGTCCATCAGCGATGTCCATCATCGATGTCCGTCAGCGTTGTCCGTCAGCGATGTCCATCAGCGTTGTCCATCAGCGATGTCCATCAGCGATGTCCATCAGTGTTGTCCATCAGCGATGTCCATCAGCGATGTCTATCAGCGATGCCCGTCAGCGATGTCCATCAGCGATGTCCATCAGCGATGTCTATCAGCGATGTCCATCAGCGATGCCCGTCAGCGATGTCCATCAGCGATGTCCATCAGCGATGTCAACCAGCATTGTCCATCAGCGTTGCCCATCAGCGATGTCCGTCAGCGATGCCCATCAGCGATGTCCATCAGCGATGTCCGTCAGCGATGTCTATCAGCGATGTCCATCAGCGTTGTCCATCAGCGATGTCCATCAGCGATGTCGCGAGTTGAACTCCGCGGAAAGAAATCGCCTCGCCCCCGCACCGAAACTTTTCAGGAGCAGCGGCAAAAATCCCCGTCCAAGGGGGTGGTGGTGGAGGGGGTCCCAGACAAACGCTGCTGCTGATGATGCTGCTGCTGATGCTGATGATGATGCTGATGATGCTGATGATGATGCTGATGATGATGCTGATGATGATGGTGATGATGATGGTGATGATGCTGATGGTGATGCTGATGATGCTGCTGATGATGATGCTGATGATGCTGATGATGCTGATGATGATGCTGCTGATGATGATGATGCTGCTGCTGCTGCTGCTGATGATGATGCTGATGATGATGCTGCTGATGATGATGCTGCTGATGATGCTGTGATGATGATGCTGATGATGCTGATGATGATGCTGATGATGATGCTGATGATGATGGTGATGATGATGGTGATGATGCTGATGGTGATGCTGATGATGCTGCTGATGATGATGCTGATGATGCTGATGATGCTGATGATGATGCTGCTGATGATGATGATGCTGCTGCTGCTGCTGCTGATGATGATGATGATGATGCTGCTGATGATGATGCTGCTGATGATGCTGCTGCGGACACTTCTCAGGAGCCCTTTGCTCCTCGCTTTGCTCCTCCGTGTGGAAGACGCGAAGGGGGGTGTTAGAGACACCGACACCACCACCATCACTACCACCACCGACACCAACACCACCACCACCATCACCACCACCACTACCTCCACCACCACCACCGACACCACCACCGACACCACCTCCACCACTACCACCACCATCACCATCACCACCGACACCACCACCACCACCGTTACCGACACTACCACCACCAACACCACCACCACCGACACCACCATCACCATCACCACCACCAACACCACCTCCACCACCACCACCATCACCACCACCACCACCACCACAGACACCACCGACACCACCAC